GTATTTATTACCAAAACGTTTATAAAATCTATATTCAATTCTTACAGATGGTGTGGCATTGACGTGTTCCTTCATGCTCTGTTCTTGTACTCTGTGAACCAAGTCCTCCAGTCTTGCCATGTGGTTCTTTGTATCTTCTATTTCTTGCTGGTATTGTAAGATCTTTTCTCGTTGTCTCTCAATCACACCTTGCAATTCTTGATTGTTGTCTCTTGAGTATGGACTGTTCTTCTTAAGTTCATTCTCTAACCTTCCAATTTTTTGACTTTGYCTTGAAATTGTTGCTCTCAGACTTGCGTTTTCTTGTTGCAGGGATGAATTGTTTTCTTCAAATGATGTGCTTTCTTGTTGAAGAAGCCTTAACCGAAATTATTCATTATTATACATTAATGAATTATAAATTCTTTGATGTTTGAATTTTGCTTTCAAACAAAAAACAAATTAAACAAAACAAAGCAAAACAAACAAGAACAAAAACTAATTTACAGCAACCAACAAAACAGCAACTGTAAATTACAGAGCAACTACAATGTTCTGTTTTAGGGACATCTTATTCAATATAATTATAATATTATCAAACTTTGGATGCATGAGTCGGAAGAATGTTGAAAAAACTATCTGATCGTTTTATGGAATTTGAGAGGGGAGAGTTTAGTTAACAAAACTTACCTTATCTCTTCTTTCAAATCATGCAACTGAGCTTCCATASTCGACATCTTCTTGTACGAATCCCCACTTTCTTTTTGAGAATGATTCAAAGCTTCTCTAAGGCTTCTTTGTTGTTCAGAACTCTACAGATACAAAAATTATAGAATAGGTACTTAGTAAACATACAACCACTGAACGAGATTTAGAGAATGAAACAATGTCAATACCTGCTGCCGCAATATTTTAATGGCATTATCTTGGTCAGCTAGCTTGTCGGTAAGTTCCTCTACACTTCTTAAAGCATCCTGGAGCTGAGACTCAGTTCTGTTGGGGATTAAAACAAAACACGTTTCTTAGYTGTTAAGGAAGAGCTTTTTTCTTGAGAAACTGGTCACATTGGGCAGCTACAGCATACCTCTTTCTTAATTTTGATTCTTCTCTTAGTTCAGTCTCAGCAATATTTGATGATTCAAASACACTTTTAAGTTCTTCATCTTTGGAATGAAGTTCCTCTTGACATTCCTTTAATTTTAATTCACTAATTCTAAAAAAAAAAAATGATAATAGTCAAACATTTTTACATTCCCAGTAAGTTTACTAAATATTATAGCCATTGTAAATTCTTTAGGGACCCCTCTTAATTTGAACGATTTTTAATGTAGACTTTCCTATAATTGATTTAAAAGTATGTGACCCTTCCCATCCGCTCTACTAGGATTCTGCATATTGAAAAATAACTTTTTGCTCTTGGACATGTTGAACATGTAAATCCCATTTGTCCTACTATTGTCAGTTTTTTCTTAGGCTTGGTTAGACTTCTAATCTTTGTACAATACCAAATTCAACAAAGGCACTGTTTTCAAGATTGTATTAAGCATTCTGCAATACATAGAGCGAATTTCGTATGAGTGGGACACCGTTACCGCACGGTTACCGCACAGTTACCGGACCTTGCCTGCACAATTTTGGTGAACCAATGAGGCACTAGAATTTGGTTACAGTACGATTACGGTCACAGTACAGTACTGTCCGTTTCCCACTCATACGAAATCCGCTCTAATTAACTGAACCTTAAAGTGAATTGATTAAATTGCAATTAATTCAATTACCTTGCCTGATCTTCTTGCTTTGCTAAGTCGGACTCTAAGTCCACAATTCTGTCCTCAAGTGACTTTACTTTTGCCCTCTCATCATCCAAATCATGGACAACATTGGCATTCTATTACAACACAGCAAAAAAATATAGACAATATTCAATTCTATGGTCAATATAACTATTATTATCATAAATGAGTTCTACATCATTATCATCACTATCAATCACCTGAGTTCATTTTATTATCATCAACATCATCACTTGTTTAATTTTTCATCTTCTCCAAATTCATCATTTCCATTCTTATCTCATCATCCAGTCCTCAACTCCCAATTCTTAGGAGCACTCCAAAACAGTGACATGACCAACTGGAGATAATTAGTAAGAGGAGGATATCTCCTGTCTGCAAGAACCCACACAACAGCATCCTCCCATAAACAGATGATGATGGAGATGATAGTGGGTTTTTTTTTGGCATTTTATTGTCGTCATTTAGACAATATTATGTTTGTAGCTTTAAGTACCTTGTTCCTAGCTTGGTGCAGCTCAAAACTCATGTTTTCAAGTTCAGACATTAATTTGTGGTTTTGGTTGACAAGCTGTGAATTCTCTTCTCTATGTTTGTTGAGCTTTCTTCTTAATGTGTCATGATCATAGTCACTACCAAATGAATGGCTTTCAAGCTGAAAAACAAACAAATATTAAAAAACAACAACATTGGAATGAAACAACAGTCTTAGCCTCCTATGCAGCCATGGGTTCCCTAGTGGGGCTAAAATGGAGATTGGGGTGAGAAACCAAAGGAAGCCCAAAGCAGGGAAAAGGAGAGCCATCAAAAAGCACCTCCTTTATAGCTGTTGACAGTGTCACTTTCAGAGACTAGTAATTCATGCCAACAGTAACAACAAATAAAACCTTCAATAATCATAGTGTCTTGCACTGTAAGTAAACTCCATGACTCATTTTGAGATCTGCCTTATAGAGGATCATTTAGTAGTGAGATGAGATCATTTTTTGGGATCTGATTACTCAAGGAATCACTTCCAGATATGATGTTTTGGGATACCTGTCTTGGTTCAGCGACTTTGAGTTGAGATCATTTTACTCATATCAAGGGATCAGGAGAGATCAGTAGAGATCATACTAACCATATCTCTAGGTGACGATTGAGTTGATCCATTTCTGACATCAGGTAGAGATGACTTAAAGGAATAATTTCCGACACTTGCTGGGGTAGTGCCACGCCTAGYATCCAGCACAGGGGGGGTTAGGTCAGACAAGGTCAGGATTTGTGCACTTTCTGGTGATGTTGAGAAGTTTCGTCCTGTATTGATGCTATATTAAAAATAGAGTGAATTTAATCCATGAAAAATACAATGAGTAGAAAATTATACATTCAACAAATTCACAAATATCGCATTCATTATGGATTTTTTAAGAATTTTGGAACCTTCTTGCGATAGTATTTTAAATGTTTAATTCAAAGAAATATAAAATCAGTGTGCTGTTATTATTAATGCGAATAAAGTTGTGAAAAAAGTGGTTTGGGGATTGAATCCTGTCATATTTTCAATGAGTGATCTCTCAGGTACGATTTAGCTCAATTTTCTGCTTATTAATCACAATCTGAACTACCAAGAATGCAGAGTTACTGCTTAAGCTATCTAAACTATCTAGTACTGAATAGTCTACAGAAGTATGAATCATTACCTGTACTCACGGGAACTAAACTGATGTGCCTTACTTTTGCCTAACACTCCTAAACTATTGTCCAACAAKGTTGCTGCATCAATACCATCTCTATCTTGCTTGACAWCAGGTGTGCTTGGTGTAGAAGGCAACAACCTTCTCTTCTTAATCTGCAATCTCTGTTTTCTTAGCTCTTGCCAGTTAGCTCTAGGTGAATTTTCCAGATAGCTAGTATCAGTTGARTGTGGAGGTGTRTGAACTTGGCTCAGATAAGATGGAGCTGTATGGCTTCTTGTATGCTTTGGTTTGGCTTTTGGAAGACCACTTTCTATGGCAGCCTTCTGGACATAAAGCAGGCCATTTCTTTGTTCAACAGAGGTGGGAGACATGGGATAATATCTATGTCTTACATTGCTAAATCGATGAACTCTTTGTGGACTTGTCTTTGGAGTAAATTTACTGTTGTCTATAAGGTCATTTGTTGTTATTGGTGGTGATATGCTCTTTGACCTCAGAGGCAATACAGATCGTCTTTGTAATGCAGCAACATTTTGTCTAAGTGGGGAGATTTGCTTTGGATTCATGCTTCCAGCRGAAGGTAAAGGCAATGGAGATGTTCTGAAGTTATTTTTCTTTAACAAATAATCACTGTCTTTAGTATTTCTTGCTATAAAACCTTCATTAAAAGATGGAATTTGTCTCTTTGCATTGGAAGGTGATTTAAAATCTTTTTGCAGAATATTACGTTCTAAATGATGACTTTCTGAGCTTCCAGCATTCATTACACGTTGTAGCTTGAAGTTTGCAAATCTTCTCATATCATCCTTTCTTCCCCTAAGCTGTCTATCATATATGGAKCCCTTATCCATTAGATGAGGAGAAATATACCTACTTCCAGGGCTAGTCAATGGATTAGATGTGGGACTTTCAAAGCTTTCACTAAGCTTTTCATCACTGGRTGTTTTGCTTTCATTACTAGATCTTCTTCTTCCTGCTCTAGCAGCATATAACTCAACATATCTTGTTAATCTTTCCTGTCTGCGCACATTAGGTCCAGATTCTATATACTCTGTATTCATTAAAGGAGGATTTGGTGGGGACTGCCTTGTCAAGATATTATTTTTTTCTTCAGAGGTGAAGTCTATAGAATTTCCTTTATTGATTGCTGCCTGCCTATCACTCTCTAAGTCTATAGACCATCTGACATGCTTAGGGCTATAAGCAACAAGATTATTTGTTTATTACATGTTTACTCAACAGTGAGTGATTGAGTGAGTGAGTGAAAGAATGTGAAATTCTGAGTTAAGACATTTTGATTGACAGAATGGTGTATCATAAAAACAACATACACCTCCCTCCATGAACAAACATTATCTCAAATTAACATGGAGACCAAACAGGAAAACATTTGAGTTGGTTAATCCTGAGAACATTTCTCCATTGGTTTAGGCTGAGTTCATTTACCATACAAGCAGCATGTATCATTTCGATAAATGATTTTTTTTCACAGGGTACTCTTTAGTAAAAGTAAAAGCCATACAAAACAATTATGTCTTTACATAAAATTTCATGTCAAAACAAACTTCTCTTAATTACTTTAGAACCAAGTTAAGTACTGTAACTTGACTCTAAAGTAAAGTTAGTTGGCTTAACATTGTTTATACAACTAAGCTGGAGAACAAGAAGAAGAAGACAGATTACCTGTGCTCCTCTGTTCCATTAGGATAATTTCGGTTCCTATCTGTTGATTCTGTTTTTTCTTGCTGTAACCTTGTTAATCTTGATTTACGGTCACTATGTAAAACCAAGATATATTTATTAATCAGTATTCATTAAGCTTATAGTTTTTGGTGCCATTTTCAAACAATATATTATTAATTGCAAAATGATGACACTTATGACATTTTGTCAAGAAGACATTGCACAATGTTTATCATACTATTCTGTTGGACAGAGTTATATTTTGTACATATGAGAAAGACTTTAATATCTGCAATGCATCAAAGCCCTTGTTGATCAAATAGCTTTGAAACACAGTAATTAAACATTCACATAAAGCTACATCTCAGTTACATGCAAGTCAGCAAATAGCTTCCACCTAATTAGCATGTAATACTATACACCTAATAACATAACTGTCAAGCAACTGTCTTGTCAAGCATGTCAGAAAGAAAAATAAAATCACTACAAAATCAATGGAAGATCGCCACTTCCCAGCATTTCCATTCAAAATAACGAACAACAAAGCRCTTCACAACATGYATTGTTATCTAAATTACTGATGTGTGACAAACAGTTGGTAGCTTATTGTTGCTGTAGTTACAAGTACTATAGGAACTAAAAGGCCAGTGAAAATTGTGTGTAAGTGATCCTCCATTAACTGAAATCACATTCAATGTGCATGACAACATCAACAAGTCGTTTGCAGGTTGAAATTCTCAATTCGTCCGAATGAATTTYTCGCAAACGATTTCGATACGTCCAAACAGTAGCAAAATCAAATGTTTACACAAGCAACGACCTCGATCTTTTACAGAATGCTAGCTTYTTTTGCTCGGATATGAATAAAAAAAGTTGAAAGTCTAGATCATAAATTTAAATTATTATTGGTGATAATATAACTTAAATTAGTTCTCGTATTACAATCAATAAGATTACGTTTTTCTCATTTAGCAATGCAATTTGATTTGATAGTAAGCTTAAGTTAGCTTTAGAATCACGCAGTCAAAGGCGGTCAAACAACGGCCCCTACAGATAATTGAATGATCTTTCAATAAAAGAGAGTCGTTATTAACTTTCATGTACCTTGTTGTAAGGTTTGGCGGCTTCATGYTTTGGAGTGACTGTTCGGTTTGYAGTAACCTTCTTCTGAGATCATAGCAATCGCGCATAAGTGGGTCATCATCCACACCTGATTTACCACTCGCTGTTGCGCTTCCAGTACTACTAACACTTGATCTACGACTCATCCTAGACGATCTTTAAATCATAACAAAAATAAACCATTGTTGTAGTAAACTCAGACGAAGTTCCACAAGTAGAAATTAACGATTAGTGCTCCCGTACGTGCACTCCTCCACATGTAAAGATCATTTCGTCTTCAAAATCAGCTTTAGGAAAAGAACAATGGACTTCAAAACTTCCAAGATCTATGCAATATCTATACTTGAATCCAGAAGGAAGCTTTCTTTAAAGATAAAACACACTTTGAAAGAATCTTTCTCCTCTTTCCGTAAATCGGTTGTTTAGCTGTTGACATGCAACGAAAACCGCCGCAGCACTTGAATGGCTTTTAYGGTCCCGTGACCCCATTCCAACCAATCACAGAAAAGTATGTCAAATTTGAACCAATCAAAAGTGTTTGTCTTACTAGTCGATAATCTGAAGGAAAGCGCGGCGAGGGACAACTCAGGAATGTTTGGACAATGTACTTTTGAGCTTTTGGGATAAATGTTTCGACGTTTCAAGGGCTTTTAAAATTCTTCTTTTCAAGTTATAGTGATAGTGTGACGCCGTTMTAATCAAATTACTAAAACGTCACCATGAAACAATGAGACAATGTTACCAGGACTATTCGAGTTCACCTTGTCAAACATTTTCTCACAAATWTGCTCAAAGGTCGTGACAAGGTGAGAAAATAATTATATTAAAACAAAAATATAATTAATCTSTAGTGACAAGTTTTGTGAAAACTCTAATGCACTCTTYAAAGAGAGGRCGAGYTTTTGGGAAGAGGAAGGGTGCAGRGGAGAAGGGCCCRGGATGGGGCTTGGGATAGGAGTATCCATTCAAGAGTTTTGACGCCCATTCAATGAATTTTAAAACAATTTCCTTCAAATCAAACATTTTTTAATTTCATTTCTCTTCATTGTTCTTAGATAAAATACTTTTTAGCTTAATTTGTTGATTGCTTCACCCTGGTCCTTACATTCTTACTGAATTAAACTTTAAAATGTAAGAATTTAATTTTGCATAAATTATACATCTCTTTTATCAAAAAAAATATCTTTTCATTATTGTCTTTCCATATTAGAAGAGTCATGTAAGCGAACATAAATATGATAAATTATTTGTTATTGTGTGCAATCATGTGCAATTGTAACATGATTTAAAAATATTTCTAAAACATCTTTACACTATAACTCAGACGATTTGCATTTGAAATCCTATTGCAATGTATCTACAATTCTTTACTTGAGAAGMAAGTTTGCTGTTGGGGCTTCACAGTTTCTGTTCAATCAAAATTTGACCAGTCATCAATCTCCCAGTCGTCTCCAACCTGATGGCAAAAGGAGAAAGATTATAGAATGGAATAAAAAGAAAAAGATCGAGGAAAGTGAAAATGAAGAAGAAACAAAGGGATGGAAGAAAGGAATAACTTGTTGTAAAAAAACRGGAGAATGAAGGAAGGATTATCATAAGAAAGTAAAGAAGGCATAARGAGTTACCAACAAGGAAGGAAAATAAAAAGTGAAGAAAAAGAATAGAGGATTAGGGAATGAAGAAGTGTTTCATGGAAGGAGAAAGTAGCAATGAGAATGGCAGAAGGAAGTAAAAAGGGAAGAAAAAAGGTAAAAAGGTAAATAAGAAATTCCAGTGAGTATGGAGGAAGTAGAAAATAAAGGAAAGTTGGAAGAAGAAAAGGAAAAATGGAAGAAATGAAATGAAGCAATGAAGAATTATTTAGCTCAGAAAAATAAATTGACAAATATCAAAAGCAGTAAGTAGATTGACAGAAGTTCTTTGTTCTACCTGTGCTGTTGCAGCAACATCCATCTTCTTGCTATAACCACTTGTGGCATTTGCCCCACCTATCCCTCCATCATAACTCTGAAACTCAACTTTAGGTTGCATATCAGCAAAGAAGTCTGGTTCTTTCGATTTGACGCTTATRTCAGGTACTTCAAACATCTGTCCAAGATTGCCAGGGTTAGGTTTGGGTTTTGGAGCTGTTGCTTTTTTACTCCCAAGTTTCATAGCCTTTCCACTGCTAGGCTTTGCTTGACTGACMATAATGTCAGGGCTATCCCATGTGATTAAGTCATGTGACCCACGTCTTTGTGTAAAGTCTACGTCACTTATGTCATAATTGTKGCTGGAGTAAGTTGTCTTGGGAACGAGTCGAGATGGAGAAGTTTTCTGTTTTGGATTGTTACTAGGGACATCAGATTCCTGAAGAAAATATACCAAAAGCAAAACAATTATGATGGTTAATTAGAAATGAATTTAACAAAAAAAGGAGGGTTTGCAGAGATGACAAAGGTCTTTTTTCAAGTTTCAATGAAATAGCATGTTAGCTAAAAATTAATAACAATTCATTCAGCACAAGTACATGTACTTCCAATCTGATTTCTGGTCATACTTTGTTCAACCACAATATCTAACATGATAAAACTAACCATGCTCTGGGAAAAGTCTGCCAACTGGAAATCTTCCCAGTCATCACCATTATCACTGCCTTCCTCTTGTGTTATTGAGTAAGATTCTGTCTCTGATAAAAGAGATATTAACAAATAAACTTTTTTGGCACTGGACTGCATTGTGACAAAGTTTTGATTTGACCATGAAAGATTAGTGAGACTATTATAGCACACTGTGAAGCTATAATTGTAA